CGCGGTTATATAACGATGCCATTATATCGGACATAGAAACGCATCGTTGCTGCATTGATTATCAGGAAATAGTATGCAACGATTTAATATGTACATCGTTCAATCAGCCTCTCTCGCGCGCGGCAATTATTTCCACATTATTCTACATCGTATATCCCGTTGTATTCTAAGTCTGCATATATATATATATATATATATATATATATATATACATACATGACGATATACGAATACTGAACCGATGGAATAACTATATATAGCACGGCTATAATCGATATAAACATATATATATATATATAACAAACATGTTTATTAACCCTTTGATGTATTATCAATTTTCACCTTATATGATAGTTCTGCGCAATACAATTTAGAATAATTACCGATATATGTGCTCATATTATTCCAAATTACAATGAAGCGATATCTGTAAAACTGTAGATCAATATGTTCAAAATAATACGTTTGGCACAAATTACGGTTTTAAGTGGGCGATTTCAGGCTCTTGCGTTATTTGCTCCACCCTTCGGAAAAGTTGAAAACAAGCATTAAATTGCAAAGTTATCCGAGTCGCGCGTCGATCGATCTTGGCGATGTGTTCCCGAAATAAAATCTCGCTCGCGTCACGAGCATCGAGGTGGACGAAATCAGGACGCCAGGAAAAACCGAGAGATTTTTCCGTAAATAATTTGGCGGCGCAGGCGCCAGACGCCGCGAAAGATAGCCGGATACCCTGAAAAGGCGAGAGAGGATCCAGATCGGAGATCGTGCCTCTGTAATATAAGGGAGCGCGAAAAGGACGACGGCAGACGGCCATTAATAAAGCGCGAAATCCAATGGTCATGCGCCAATCAGCGGCCGTGACAGTAGCCACGACGTAACAAGTATTTCCCATCAGCGCATTCCGCATGCAAGGATCACTATTCCGGATCGCAAAACGAGCTCTTTTACGTTGATTAGCGACGATGTGTGCACGGTTCGGTCTTCCAATCTCGCGAGTGGATTACTTGGACCGAATGGTCAATGTTGAATTTGGAACCGAGACAATTGTTGTATTTAATACATTTGTATTGAGAAATATTGTATTTTTTTTTATACATATACTTACATGATGCAAACTCACCCTGCGGATTTTTAACTACTGTATAATTTTTTAATTAATTTTATTAGCGTAAATTTGATAATAAAATGAAGAGTATAATTTCGTCATCTCTAGTTCTTCTCTCGAAAAATTCTATATGCTGGATGAGTTTTTAATGTTTAATTGTTGATTAAATATGTTTCTATTATTTTCATTAAGAAAATATCTATTCTAAATAAATCACTTAAAGAATTTATAATAAAAAAAATAATAAATAATTCAATTGTTAATAAAGTTTGCATTTTTCCAATATCTTTCTTTGCCGATAGGACGATAAAATAACATATTATTTTTAAAGAATCAAAGTATACACTTTTTACTTTTGAGAGCATTCATCTATAAAAATAGATGTAACAGTTTGCGATATAATTAGAATATCGCAGATCCATTGACTTAAACACATCTTGCGAAACAACATTCGTGCTCGACTCGTTAAAAAAAGATAATAGATATCTCGAAATGAAAATAATAACCTTCGCGGAATCTCTTTTCCGAAATTCCCTTCATAAACTTCGCCATGCTCTCCTCTCTATATTATCTTCGTATCGTTATTCACTACTACTGTTCCCTCTCAGTTTCTCCCCACGTGCGACGCACGCGTGTGCACACACGTGACAATACAACGACACACCCTAAATATCGAGAAAGTAGATTTCCCGTGCCTTGATATGATTAATGCTCCACTCCTGAGAGATAAAAAGTGAGCGAAGGAAAAGACGAGGGATGGGAGGAAAATGGCAAAGCGCGAACGAGGGGGATGGCCAAGGAAGTAGGGTAGAAAGAGCAAACAACGGGAAAACAGAAGAGGAGATCGCGACAAAAGATTATATGAAACGAGAAATATGGAGAAATAATTTATATCAGAAATAAAAAATCATCAATTTTAAGATGAACCGAGATTCTTTATTTAATAAATATATATATGTAATATACACGCGTGTGCAATTTTTCTTGGAAATCCTTTAATCGTGCAGAATCTAATTCTTCGCGTATCTATAACGTTTTTTAAATCCATCTCCGAGGATGAGGAATGAGGCGGGAATGAAAAAATATCAAAGAGGAACGAAGGAAGGAAAAGTAAGGAGAAAGGGGAGAAAGAGAAGAAACATCTTGGTGGTTACGAGGGTGCGAAGAGGGAAGGACGCGACGAAGGAAAAAGTGCAAGAGTGTGGTAGAAGGGAAACCGTTTGCGGGGCTGCTGGTGGTCGGCCGTCCGTACACTGCAAATCCCCGTCAACCGCATTCAATTACGATGTTATCGCGAATACAGATGACGGTTATTTCCTTCGGTACACCCTATACATAACGCGCGGCCCTACCAAGCCGTCGCTCGAACCAAGGGCCGTAAGGTTGTTGTGTGTATACGGTGTACTAACGACTAGACCGTGTGATTGTTTCAGGACATGCGGCCGCGACTCCTAAACATGAAGTTCGATTCTCATCGATGATATCAAGCGATTTCCTCTCTCTGTCACGTGGATATTTATCTCAATTAAAATCATTAATCTGTCTTTCTTATTGAAAAAAACTTTAACGTCCAGACTAAAAAGAGTCTTGCGGTATTTTATTTTAGAAAAAATTCATTCGTAAAAAAATTTTATTTAAAATTTACTTACTTGAAAGTCTTGATGTGCAATTTTTAAATTCTCTCTCTCTCTCGCTCTCTTACGCACCACTGGATGTAACCTAAATACTTTTAATAATAAAATTCTAATAAACTCTTTTATGATATTGTACTAGCAAATTATAGAATTATAAATATTTTTTTCTACTTTGCATTCGTTTTACATCTTCTGATTTAAATTTTTGAAACTTTTTCGGTTTCGTAATTATCGCGTTATTTCGTCAATATATTTTGAAACGTTTTTGATTCGATAAATTTGATTCAAAAGTTAATCCAATCCGAGGTTCTAACTACTTTACGTTTCTTAAGTGATAAGATTTAAAATACAACTATTAATTATGACCAGAATCTTGTTTGCCATCCAATCGAGAAGAATGTACGGTTCATAACCGATACACTCTCGTCTAAATTTGGTTTCAATCGTGCTTCTAAGAAAAATGTCTATAAATTCTCGCGCGAGATACTCGAAATGTCCCTCTTCATTATATCTGCATCGTGCTCGAAATCACGGACGTTCCTAGCACGAGAATGTCGATACGAGAGGAACGTCAGCAGAGATGCCTTGAACAGGCAAAAAATGGACGAAGTAGATTAATTGGAGTTCTCCCTTTCTCTCTCTCTCTCTCTCTCCCCCTCGTTTCCTCCGAAACATGTGTGTGTTAGAAAGAAACAGGCAGGGAAAAGAGGAATGAGATCAGAGAGAAAGAAGAGGGGAATAGAGGGACAAAGGCGGCGGAACGGCAGGATGGCCCGGGGGCGAGCTTTTTGCCGAACACATAATGCATAGCGAAGGATGACACCCTTATCTCATGATCTTTAATTCCGTGAGCCGCCGCGAGGGGGTTACCGCCACGTTGTCATTTGTCGGTTGCACCGCGACGGTATCGGGGGTGGATGAGGAAGGAGAGGGCAGGAAAGAAACGGCAGGGAGAGGACGGGCCCGCCGGTCGGGCGGATAAAACCGCCACCGCTGTTAACATCGCCGTCGGATACGAGGGGGGTTGGAAATTGCCTTGGCTGATTTCATTTCGAGCCAGATTATTTTAAGGGGTTCCGTTCTCCCTTTCGCTCCTTGGTCCCTCCCCCGCTCGCGCCACTACCGTTCCTGCCTGACGTGATTAATGCGACTCTGGACGCGGACGCTGACGGTGGTGGTAGCGATAGTGGTAGTGGTAGTGGTGGTGGCGGTTGCGGTTGGAGGGTCGAGATGACGAGTCGCGGCTACTCGCGCGACGTCGAATTAATTCGCCCGAGCACGCACCGGAAGCGAGCTGAAATTGTTAACTCCTTCCGGTCCGAACGCATTATAAAAAGGTGGAGGATATTATTTTTGATAATATCTTCGCCGGTGAAATACGAATTAAAGTAGCGTAGAGGTACGGATTAAAACGACTTCTTATATAAGAATTGATTAAACTGGGGCTCAACGCTATCTTCGGACCACATCGCGTAATTTATTACGGCGTAAAGTTTATTAACCCAGAAGTGTGATTTTTTAACTGGAAAGAATCAATAACGTTACGTGCTCGATGTAATTACACCGTGTTTCTCTCTTTAGTCGCGCAACCAACGAAATTTATCAAATAAGCGTCGAGCGAACAGTTTAATCGCAATGCATCTTATTAGATTGAGCGATAGGTTTTTCATAAGGAACAACGAAAATAATGGCAATCAATTTACGAGCCGTTCGGAGCGCACATAAACGTGAAACAATCCATCGAGCGAAACGACCTACATAACGCAATCGCGGCGGCATAAGTTTCCAGTTATGGCTCTCGGAGCCGCGCGGCGATTTCGGAGGCGCGTATCCGCGAGTTTTAAGGAGTTCCACGTCCCATTATAAAGTCTTCACCGCGCATAATAGCATTCGGCTCCGCAGGCTGGCGAGCATTAGGGAAATCGCGTTTCCACCCTCCTCGTATTAGCTCGACGCCACGCGAGCCGTCATCCTCTCCCTCCTGTTCTTTTTATCCCCGTGGTATGCGTTGAATGGTCCTCTCGATCGGATCGGCAAACTTTCGCGCGCGGGCGACTTACCTCGATTTCGGCTTTCTTGGTAGAAAGACGGACGACGGGGTGTTCAGAAGGGAAGAGGAGCGAAGGAATCGAGACACGAAGAGAGACGTCCCGGACGTCGCGTAGGATCTACCGTGGGATATTATATTCGTCGACTTAAAGTCGCGCAACGCGAATCCTCTTGGCTGGAAATGAAAAACACTCTTGGAATACACCAGGTTGTATTTATAAGAATGTTATATTTTCTCGGTAGTAATGGGAGTGTCCCTCCCCTTCCGTAAAGAGGGAGAAACCGTCGTTAATATATTAATAGAATCCTAGGTAAGAGTGATATTATATACAGATGAATAAAAAATGGGAAAGAGTCGTTCCCTGTTCCTCTCTGTCCTACGTGGGAGATAATGTTTCATTTCGCTCGGTTCGATCGTCTCACCTCTCTCCCTTCGCCATGTCGCGAGATCTTTGTACTAGCGGTACGACAGAGTCGTCGGGCGCCTCGATCCGTTGCTCTGCTCGACAAGTTTTACAAGTGTTCCATGTCAATGAAATTACGCGCACTTTCTCTCATTTTTCGCATATGCACGTCCGTTGCACGTCATATCAGCGGACATGATTACCGATAGGCTTCGTTCGAATTCAGAATCGGCGTCGCGCCGACCATTTTAATTATGTAACCGTAATTATTACAATCCTGTCTCTAGAATGAAATAATGATTGAGCCATAACAAGATCTATAAGATAAAAAAGTGTTATTGTGTGCGTAACGCCAGACGAGAAAAGTGATGGTAGTGTTATAGTTATTCTCGCCGGCGCGCGATATTGATGCAACCGGCCGGAAACGAGAGAAAGCCCGGATATACGCGGGAATGAGAGACGGATCGGTATTTCCGGCGTCGCGGGAAATTGCTCACAGTTAATAGCGTTACGAGTTCACGGTTAATAATGTCGCGGCAACCAATGTGGTAAGAGCGTTTCCGTCGATCTCCTTCCTGCTCCCATACGATTACGAATGTATTCCGAATGAATGGCGTATGGTATAGATAAATAAGCGCCGTCTGTATTTTTGGCATTAAAGCGTTAAAGCTAAATGAGACTAAACCCCTCGCTCTCCGATCCGGCGGGAATTCGCGACTCTCGGCCCAGTCGCGGAATATTTAAAAGTCTCAATGTCATAAATTACTTTCGAATTTATTTCGATAAAACTTTTAAAATGGTGAAAATTCTGAAAACATTAATTGTGACATTAATAAAATAATTGTTTGCAATTTTTTGTGCCGAGGTCACTGAAAGTTTCACTACGCTTTCGCGAAAACTTGCCGGACGAAGCCTACGGAAAATAATTCGTTATGACGCACGTCGGGCTGTCTCGAACTGAATTTTTCCGCGGCGCTTGTTCTCCGAGGGGTTCTTAACCTAACGTTTTTAATTAATCTTTGGTATCAGCTGTTGCGAATCGATCTCGCTTGCGATGCAATATCTATGCAATAAATAATAGAAATAAAATTTAATACAAATTTCGATATACAATCTATTAAATGTTTACGATCTTTCTTCCAATTTCGCGAAATATGAAATGATTATTATCTTACTTCTCCTTTCCCTTTGGCTGCGCACTTTCGGCCTGCTGTAAAACGGGAGATCGTAGAATGGATAATATGGCACGTGTTACAGAACCCCTCGCGTCCTCTTCGCTAAAAGTTCTCTCCTTTGAATCGACGCTCTACGTCCTTATGGATGGACGATGGCGATATCACGAGCGGGATAAGAGTCATCTCGGTGGACCTGCGTATACTGGTAATTGTTTCGTCTTCTCTCACACATTCTCGCGGAGTCGGATACGACACAGATATATTTACAGACGACTCCGCCGTTCACGCACACGTAAATTTTCGTCCTCGCGCAGAATCACACATTCTCTCCCATCTCTTGTCGCTAGAAATATATCTTACACGAATCATCTAATTTATTTTTACGTGTGTCGGGTGTCGTATCGTATCGTATTTTACAAGACGTGTACATGCATCAACAACAGACGACACAAAAGTCCAAGAGACGCCTGAAAGATGTCTAGAGAATTTTACGACGTCATTTAAACGCTTGCATTGTCCGTGTATTCGTATATTCAGTGTATACAAGTATGTATGTGTACGTGTGTGTGTCTCTCTCAGTAAATACAGTATATCGAGCTCCAGCTCGTATCTCGCGCGCGCGCGTATCCTACTGTATTAATATATCTTCCGTTAAATTTGTTCATTTTTCACGATCACAGTGATTCCAATCTCCAATCCCGTCACTTTGTCCACGAAACCTCGGATTTCCACTTCGAGTTCGTCCGACTCTCCCCTCCTCTTGGTTCTGTCTACGTCCCAGTTTTACATCTCGTTCTTTCAGTCCCTTCAAACCTTTTCATCCCAACATTCTCAACGACGCAACGTATGCTTCCTTCGCATCTCTTGCTGTTGGAATCCTCGATTATATTCCACGAGCGAGGAGAAACTACTCTCGCGTCGGTTTTAATAACCGCTGAGACACCTGAGCTTCTTCAGAGGCGGCGAAGCCTCGTTTCAGCTGGTCGGCGCCTGCATAGACATCGGGGGTGGCTTCACGGGTCCGAGGGCGGGTCCGGACAGACCGTTGTTGTTCATGTCACCCGGCGCCCTCGGCCCGCCGACCCCTATAGTCGTCCCGTTCACCGTTGGCGTGCCGCCTGACATTTGACCCTGAAGTCATAAAAGGCCCGAAAGGCGTGAGACGTCGCTTTCGTATCGCGACATGTTCGCGAGTGTCGATTTGACAATATCGAGAAAGTGAATTAGAAATTATGAGGAAGCGATTTATCGCAATTATATCGTAATTATTAAAATTGTATAACACTACATTAGTATTTAGTTATCATAACTATTAAAATTATTATAATTAACAACTGAGTGAAAAATGAAGTATTTAAATATTATATTAATTATCGATTTTTTTTATTCACGTTAGTACCGGACTTATTTCTGAATTCGTTTTCGAACAGACTCGTTCACATAGTTTGTTAACTTACGTTGGGCACATGATTGTGCTGAGCCACCGACTGTCCCAGACCTTGATGAGCCTGGAGCGGATTGTGTCCCGGATGCATGTTCTGACCCGGAGGTGTCGGTGTAGGAGGGAGTTGCCTTTTGATGTATGCTAATGAGGCAGGTGATTGTATCGCCATATTAGCGAACGCTAGCCTCTCCTCGTAATCGTACTCGCAGAGAATTTTGTTCTCGCACAAGTAAAACCGATCGCCCACACAAAACCTGCAAGCAAAAAGGAGAAACACGCTTTGTCGTCGACCATAAAAATCCATCCCCGGTTCACATTTCCCCCGGTGTAAGTTATCAAGTGTTTGTTTTCTATCAATGATTGTACAACGAACAATTATAAATAATTATGCAAAAAATTAACTTTTCTCTTGGAATTAATCGTCGTTCGTTGAATCGCAAAATTTGGTTTGTCGCTCCCGAAGGACTCAAAGGGAGATTCAAAAACAACGCGATTAAATTAAGGGGCACAATCCTGTTTTGATCTCATGTTTTAACCCAATCGATCCTAATGCCGAGTGAAAGAAAAGAAAGAGAAGACTCGGCGAGGGGTGGACGACAAGGGCAAGGGGATCGGAAAAGGAGTTTCGCTGGATAACGAGCATATCGTAACGCATCGAACAAATAATTATTATCGGAGCCTCTGTCTGCGAGAACGACCACGTATCCGCTTTGATCCCGGCTAGGAAATACGAGAGCGAAATACGAGAGCACAGTGGCTGCGGCGGCGCCGCGTTGAGTCTGGCTCGGGGTAGATACTCTCATAATCGCACGGCAAATAGAATTATCGCGTTGCTGCGCGTGGCCGTTGCTGGCAGCAAGCGCGCGGCTTATACCGGGGTTTCGCTCGTTTCCCCCATTATACGCGTCGTCTGCTAAATGACGCCACACTCCAATCGGATACCTACCCTCTCCTCTTCTCGCTCGTACCCTTCTTTGTCTCTCTCTCTCTTTTTCTCTCTCTATATATATATGCAACAGTTCTATTGAATTTTTAATCTAAATTTAACTTAAATTGCTCGGCGTACATTAAGTTGTACGATAAGTATATCGTGTTATTTAATAAGATATATCGAGAAATATTTATTTCATTTATTTCGAACTGTAATAGCCGTGTGACGGCTTTAATTAGCCGAGATTCTGTTCCCGACAAAGAATATCGCATCACATAAACAGACGCGTTTCACATATCAAAATGCGATATGTCGGAACGAAATAAAAAAAAACAACCGAGAAGATTTTACAGCGAAGGTAAATTAAACCGATTAATTAAAGTAATGTTCGTCGTTATCGTTAATTGATATGCTTACGACCTTTTATCATACGCGCGCGATATAATCGACAAAAGCGTATTTATATTTCACCATTAGTCATTTCCCATTAATCCTCGAGGCGATTCGCGAAGCGAAGCGCGGAAGAAGAAGAAGAGGGGTGGGGGAGGCGTGAAAAAAAAATTAATATCCGGCGGGCGGACTCCAATGTTCGACGGCTTAAACGAAAATAATCCTTGTAACGCTTTGGAATATCTTTTTCGGCCGCCTGGCTAGAGGCAGATATACCGCTCGTAATTGCGCGGGCAATAGAATTATCGCGTTGCACGAGCGCAGTCATTTCGGGCCTTCCATTATGCGCGCACGAATAATGCCGCGCAAAGCCCGATCCTTTCCCGCGAAAACGGCGCAAATGTCTGCCGTGGAATGATATCGGCGCGCATGCTGTGTGTGTCTCCGTAATTTTCCCCTCCGGGTAATTTTTATACGGACGACCTATGGCCAGCTTGAAAATCATTGAGACATCAAGCAACGTCATACGCGGAGCGGATATTCTATTCGGGTCGGGTGGAGGAACTAATTGAACGGATAGCCTTGCTTACATATCGACATTATTAAAACAAGGAACGCTGGCACGACATTAATTACGATGTCTCTCACAAGTACCTCGTTATCTCTATACGAGATTAATTGATAATTATAGACATTTATTTATTTAGTTAGAAGAATAAAGCGGAAAGTTTATTGCAAATTATATGGAAATCATCAGAGAAATCGCGGAAATTTATTTGAAATAGAAATTATATAATTAATAAGAGCGGAATAAAAATGTCGCGGAAATATACTACAAGGTTTCCATTTTTCATCGAGCATAAAGGAGAAATATTTTTATCCACCGTTATGATCGAAATATTAAAATCGCGCCGGGTAAAGGCTCTTTTTACAAAGTTTTAATTCCCATTGTATTAAAGCTCATCCGTGTAACGCTCGCGCGAGAGCCAACTCATAAACGCTTAAAATTTGATTTATCTCTCGTTCTGCGCTCATCGCAATGAGAACAAATTCGCCTCCGCCTACGAACGCTTTATTATACAGCGCGAGCGCGTCCAGTACGCCCACATCTACGTAATTGGCGCAATTCCGTAAGTGTTTCCATTCAATTTTCTTTTTATTACGTGCCTGCCAGAGCGGCCCTTCCTCTCTCTCTCTCTCTCTCTCTCTGCGCTGCGTACGCATACCAGCACGCGTCGTCGGGATATATCACGTTGTTTACGGCCCTTTTGACACGTTTCACGGCACCCGGGAGTCCGCGATGCGCTGCAATTTCTTCGTCGTTTAAATGCAAGAGAAGTATCACCGATCGGCAGATAGCCTTGTACTTGTCAGCACAACGGAAAACTTGCGTCTATCTTTCAGATCTGTAAAGTTTCGTCAAATCAAAATTCCAGCAGGACACTAGATTTCCATTTTGCGTAAAATATTAACGACATTTCTCTCATAATCTCGCTGCTGACCGCAGCCCCTGCCCGATACGATCATCTTAAATCGCTCCGCACTTAGCTGATTGTGAGAAACATCAACTGATTGAGATTGGTGAACCATTTGCGTGGAAGATGATTCGAGGGAGGAAGGAAGGAAGAAGGGAACGGATAAAAGTCGCGCGAGAGAATGACTTTCGGGTCTGCATGGAAAATTTCAATCTGGACGGCGCTCAGAAAACTCGGTTGAATCTTTAACGAGGGTAGTCCGGTTACAGGACAATGCGCGACAGGGAGAAATCGAGAGACACGGAGGATAGAGGGGACGGTACCGACGCGAGGAAACGGAAACGAAAGCGAGGACAACGTCCGGGGCGGTTCGACGAGACGGGGTGCAAAGGGCGGAAAGGAGCCACTGCGATTCAATAAATGATAGCGTCGTGGTGGCAATGCGTGACCCCGTTAGAGAGGCACTTTACGGGCCGCTTCGCCGGCGCGACCGTATCCTTCAAAGAGTAATACCGTCTCTCTACGCGAGCTTCGGCGTATCAAAGTTTCAGCGGCTCCGCTTGCGCGTCTCGGTGCCCGGGACACGATACGCCAGTTTCTCAGATGAAATCTTTATTCGACGCACCTCTGCCCTCCCTCCCCGCGGTGTAAATTTGCGAAAATTGCGGGTCAAGAGTATTGCTCGTTCAAAGATGCATATGCGAGTGATCGCGATCTTTTCGAAACGGATAAGCACGATATCTATATACATGATCAGATATATTGAAAATACTAATAATATTTTGTATGATATTGTTTCGAAGCAATCGCGTCTAATTAAAAAAATTTCACATCATTTATAATTTCGCCGAGAGCTTCGATCCTACGGGATATCAAATCCAAGTCGCAGGGGCGAAAGTTTAATCGAGTAGTCATTATGTTTAACCGGATTCGACGGAAGTAAAGAAATCGTGGGGAGTAGATACGCGCTTGCGCTAGGGCACATGCACGAGTGTACGCGTATATTCGTGTGCATCGGGGGCGAGAGAAAGAGAAAAAGGGAGAAGGTAGGACGAGCGAGCGAAAGAGAAAGAGAAAGAGCTAATTGCATCGGTAAATCATCCTCTAACCGGGAGGGTGGGAGCCTAGTCGCCGCCACTGGCACAACCCTTTATTCTGTGTTATTACAGTCTAAAGTTACCCCGTGTAATTGTTGCTGTTTAATTGCAAACTCTAAGTCGCCTCGTTACAGGACGCGCAGCGCTGCGAGTAATTGCCCTCTTCAAATTTACCTACCTGCTTTTTAGCGGCACGATCGAGGGGCAGGCGGCAAGGGGGATGTTCGCGCACCGAATATTCCGCATCAGGCATATTTTATCGCGAGCGCGCGCTTTAATTGCGCCCGTGCATCATCCGCGACACGCAACGCAATTGTTACAACAAATATAATGGCCGAGCCGAGTGCAGCTGTCTCAATTTGCTTCTTCGCCATTCGTTTCCAGCTCCGAAACGGAGCCGACGATTCGTCTCCCCGCGTCTTTAAGCGCGTTTCTTCTCAAAAGGATCGACGAGACATCCATCCCGGATGTTCGGGATTCGGTTTTGATCCTCGCGCGCGACACGTTCGCCATCCCTCGTGTTCTCTCATCCCTCGCTTTCAGCGCGAGTCGCGCGAGCGGGGCGCATTGTCGAAGATAGACAATGCAGGACGATAAAAACGTAAAATTGATGCTCTTTTGTTCGCATTGTTTGAGATGCTGCGCAACGTTTGCCGCACGCCTGGACGAGCCATTGCTATTGGCTTGAAACATCCTTCACCTCCGGTTCCTCTATCATCCCTCAGCCTCTCTCTCTCTCTCACTATTCTCCGCCGATAGAGCGGCTACCATCGACTCTCTATCTCCTGAACGTTGTTACCCCCGAAACGAGTCACTTCGCTCGTAAGCTAGCATTGTAACCGCTTCAGCGATTTTGTGCTCACGTTTGTACGTTCCTCGCTATTGAATCGCGACAGGAGTCGCTGCTACTCTGTCGTTGCCACATATTGTTTACTACATCGTATCACGGCCCGAAGATAATTAAAACGATCCAGAAAAGAATAACGGATGATAACGCGTGGCTTTGACAGACGGTTAATCTTACTACATTCGTATCTTATGTAACACATATAACAATTCGTAATAACTTGGAGACTATGGACTTGGAGATATCGATGTCCCACCGCGAGAAAATCACCGACACTCGGATATTACATCATTGATCTTAAAAGACGGAATACATGAAATATGGAAAGGGAAAGCCTTTATCTTTGCAGCAAGTCCTCTATAAGAATATATATATGCGTTGTTTAAGAAACTTATAAAACTTGCGTGTGTTATGTTAAGAGAGATTTAAAATACACTTATAAGAAGAACAAAAAGCATACAAAAATTTGAATCCATATTTTGATCTCCCATCAATCAGTTTGCCGTTCGGCAAAGATGAAAATGTCAAATCTCGTTTTAGAGCCTCGTTTTAGGGATTGCAAAAATATAATACATAAAGATGGATGCGAGGAATGAATTAATAAAAGGAAGCAGATGGCATATCGCGCCTTTCGGCGGATTGAGAACCGAGGTCGTGGGATGCGCGAGAGCGTGTATGCCGCGGGATTTCACGATGAAGTCGGACCGGAGAATGGCAGCGCGAGCGAAAGAAGAAGAGGTCATGGTGCGGAAAGCGCAGGGTGATTTCCCAGCTGACCTGTAAAGCAACCTTCTCCCCTTCCCTTCTCCAATGGGCTCTGTCTCGCTCCATGGCCGTTTCTTACCCTCTCCTTGTGTCCACGCGGGAAAGATGCATCGCCGTGAAAGCCGTGAACGGCGGAAAATAAAGCACGGAAAGAAAGAGAGAGAGAGCGCGGAAGAAGAAAGGGCAGGAACGCGGGTAGCAAATTTACTGATTCTCTAGCTTCTACCATTTTACGCGCGAGTAGTAATTTTTAATAATTAATGAGCCGTTCGTTTTTAATAATTGATGAACCAATTTTTTTGTTCCCGTTTTGAGATTCTATCTCTATATCTTTGATATAGTATAAATCTCTCTCTATAATTCGTACGATCGCAAACAAGTCTATTCTTTGCCGTTGCATCTTTGTGTATGCTTTGCATACTTCAAACAGTGCAATGATGGATCCACGCGTTTTAAATAGAAAAAAAGTGCGAGAATAAATATCTGATTAAAAAAATAAATCTGATAATTCGCACGCACTCACCGATGAGTACACTGTTGACAGGCGAAACAGTCCAGATGATAGACGTTCGTCCTGGCCCTCATAACCATCTCGAATGCCGGTATTTGCTTGTTACATGCCGCGCAGCATCCCGTGCTCCCGAAGAGCCTGAGGTAGTCCCTCTTACAGAGGATAAGATTAGCTTTGGTGTAGAGGGTAGAGCCGACTTCTCCTAACCTACAGTCGCAGCAGCTGCACTTGAGGCAGTCCTCGTGCCAGTAGGAGTCCAGAGCCTTGAGGAGGTACCTGAAGAACCGACAATATCACTGCAGCTTTCGTTCTTACCGGCCGTTAAGCCTTGGAAATTTCTCTTTTATCTCGATATCTAATATATATATATATATATATATAATTTTTTTCCCCGATAAAATGGCTAATCATTTCAATAATAAAAAAGCTATATAGGAAGATCGATATTTACATCTCCATTCGAACTTAAAATATTAATATCGTAGCAGAGTTATTAATAAAGTAACAAACAGACGACAAATACTTTCTTTAAGTATGCAGATAAAGTGCCGATATTTACCTCTCTGTAATTGCTTTCGCGCAACCGGCGCAGACCTGCTGCGTCGAACCATTTTTATTCTCAGATTTGCTCACATCCATAGTCATCGTGATCTTGACTACGGCGCCGTCTGAAACATAAAAATAAATCGAATCACTATAGCTGCATCTCTACACGTTCATGTCAGAAAATAGCGACAAAAAAAGCAATATTTCACATATTATTTAAATTTTGTTACATACGGAAGAGAATTAAAAAGAATACAATTATTAAATTTAAAATCTCGTGCTTGTCAAATTTATGATCTCGAGATACAGAGAAGAATAAAATCTTTAATAGTCTAAAATATTTGTATTTGTGCAACGAGAAAATTATGACGCGGCGTAATTTCGTAGCCCGAAATTTGATTTCTCGAATTAATGAGGATCTCACCCGTATATTCAGACTGTATCATATACATCCGCGCATGTTTATAAGGGGCAACTTCGCGGACGGCTGGCGTGCCGTGCACGCCGTATTCCGCGGTTATAAGCGTCTCCGACGTCGTAAGTGGCTGACAGCACGCAATAATTAGCGCAGCTAATTGGAACCGTCCCTTATGCTCATCTCGCGCGTCCCAAACTCCAATAAGCAGCGACGCGCTGCGTCACGAGAACCGCCGAAATCTTTCGCGAGAAAAAAATTGTCGTTTTTTTTTTATTTCTTTCCGACATTTAAAGAGCAGCGTCTTCCAATATTTAAATGTCGAAATTCTCACCGAAAATATATTCTTGTATAATGCCAATTATTTTCAACTCTTGAATTTCCTAATTAAAACAAAAATACATTACTTCATTTAAACGTTTATATCTTTAAACTTTATATATTATGCCATTTAAAAATCTTAACGTTTTCGTGTCTATAAAGTTCCTTTTATCGTATTCTTCAAACACGAATTTATTATTCATAAAATTGATAGCAATAATACATATCAATTTTTAAATTGTCGAAAATCTTTCTTTTTTTCCTACTTTCTCTTTTTCACACGCGAAAGATGAGCATTTTTCCGATTGATTTTTTTCATAAAAAAAATTGTGGGTAACCAAATAGCCACTGCAGGCTCATTAAAAAACACTCGTATAAAAAATTATATTCGATTTGGATTTGCGCAAAAGTCATCATGAGCAAAAGTGTAATCGCGAGGTTGCAGTTACGTTCTTACGAGGCGATTCGCGTAACACTTCCCAGGTAAACATCGCGAACAGGGGTAATGGCAGGGAGGGAAGGGGAGAGGGAAGGGGGAAGTGAGAGAAGTGGGCCGCCACCTCCGCCGTTCGAAACGACGACGAGCGGGCGGACGGAGCTTAATTAATTAGCCGGATACTTTGAGTAACAATCCATTATTACATACAAACATCCTCGGCCTCGGGGCCGAGCTGCAGCTTTATGCTGCTAATTGGCCTTCTCAAAGCCGGGAGAGACCCGGGCACGAGTTATAAACGCCACTCCTTCCCTCCCTGATTCCTCGCGGCTCGCAGCCACCGTACCGCACACCGAGTCCTCTCCTCCGCCACCCTGCTTTCACTCCCGGTTCCAATTTTCTCTCTCGCTACCAATCCCCTTTTCTCTCTATCTCACCTCCCCTTCTCCATCTCCCCATCTCGTTATCTCGCTCCATCCTCCTCATCCCTTTCCTATCGCTGCATCACTTCACCCGCGTGCTCCGCAATACACGTAAAACGCATACAATCGCGCGGATACGCTCGCTCACATGCGCTAAGACAAAATGGATGAGAGAGGAGGTGCGGGAGATGGGCGAAGGGGTGCGAGAGACGGTGGACGGAAAGAAAGAGCAAACGAGAGACGAAGAAGAAAGAGGGAGAGAAAGATATAAGCGGCAGGGAGGAAGGGAAGCTGGACGGATAGCGCTAATAACGCGCTCGTGACGCAAAAAAAAAGAAGTATAATTGCCAGCCCTCGTGGCAGGTATTTTTCAAATAGGACCCCGTTCGTTAATTGGAGGGCAAATTAAAGAGGCGCCGCCGAGGAAAAAAACATCATTCCCCCTTTTCCCCTTGTTGCCTCCCGCAGCGCGCCACCCACCCACGTAGGTATATCCAAGAGCCGCCTCGTGATTCGTCAAACGACTCGTACGCTCCGTTTTTGCTTGGTTCTAGCTTTTTTTAATGATTCTCCCTTATAGAGTCCGATTCATATCGCGATAAAATGAGAAAAATACACGCACACACTGCTGCAACGCGTCCTATAAAAATAGTTAACGATGACGATTTTCAAGCTCTTCTTCCCGGGAGAAAGCGCGGTAATGCTAATTGTACGATCAATAACGGATCGAAATGAATGACCGATGGAATAGTTCGTCTGATGAATGAATTTGCGACTGAAAGAAGTTTACGCCTTCGTTACGCGCGCTTTGCAAACACCATAATTATGCACATATATTTGATCGCGTTGTGCAGAGATATGATGAAAAAAAAATTGGTGTTACTTTACTCTTTTGATTGCAAATAGTGGATATTGAAATTGCCGATACTCGCGAGCAAATTAAAACTTCAATGCATGGATACCAAAATATCAAACAAAAATAGTCGGAAAAAAATTAATCATTCGCGCGGGTGAAAAATTTCGAGCCTGTTATGATACTGCGAAAATTCGCACATTGTACTCTGATAGGAAGTATTCGTTTATCGCAATTGTAATTTATCTAATTCGTTTGTGAAAGCAAATAGTTTATATAAAAGAAAATATAGAAATATTCAACAAAATATTATGTTTAAATAAATGGAAATTTTTTTATTTTTCGCTTTCGAAAGCGACGATAACTTATGCAACTGACAAAATTTTTTAGAAATCAAAATTAAAAATTACGAAAATCTTACATAAGAAAATAGATACTTGGACTACAATCTTTCTGGGATTGCTAATTAATATTTTATCACAAAATATAATGCGATTTGTTTGTCACTCTGAATGATTGGCCACTCTGTACACAAGAATATATGAATTATTATATTATTCTTTTGTAGACTGACCAATGTCGGCGTGAATGACGTCGAAATAGCTTATAAAATAAAATTGCGAAGGGCGAATTTTGCCTTATATATAGCATCTTTTATTACTATCGATCTTATGGAAATTACAGACACTTTATTGCGGTGTGATATTTTTGAATTAAGAATTTTCAGAGATGTTTCACAATAAACATATATTACCGAATAAAAATTTTATGTTTTGTCGTAAATAAGAGACACTGATACAATATTAATAACGTTCAAAAATCTTTGAAATACTTACATTATCGCGTACAGTTGAGATATTTATCGTTTCATATTTGAAAATATTATTGGTAGCCGAATATTAATACCGAATATTGGTCACCGATTTTATTTCTTGGCGAGAAAGTCTTGGAGAAATTCGATCGTTCGCTTCTGATAGAATCACTCTCACGTCGCGTCGGTCGCGCTACGCTGTTCTCATATGCGAGATAACATAATCGTAAAATGGCAAACTGATTTCAAGCGTTATGGTTTTTCCGGGGTATGGAGCGGCGCGGCAAACGGTCAGCTCCCAAATACGGGGCGACCTACGGGGAAACTGGCGATATTCGATCGTCGAATCAGCAACGGATACGACTTTTTATTCGGTCAATATAAGGAGCACCCTTGCGAGATTACGAAATTGCCCTAACAGCAATATAAGAGAAATCTACCCCTGCGCCAAGCCGTCCTCCTCACGTTTTTCCCCCCCGCCGTCCTCCCGGAGAGCCCGTCGGGGCGGACAGGGCCGCTAGGTGGTTTAATAAAAATGTCAAATATAAAGTAGCCGGTGGGGACGGACGTTTAGGAAATAAATAAATGTAAAAGAAAGTCTTTCCGTGGGAGGAAAGAGATCGAGAGAGCGGGATGGACAAATATGTAGACGGATAGACGGACGAAGAAAAGCGACGATATGAAGAGAGGGGAAGAAGAAGGGGAGGAATGAAACTATCTCGGAAAAGGAACGGGAATATGGACTCGATATATATTATTACGGTTAGAGGTCAGCGCGACGCATCCCCAGCTGACTCAAACTGTGAGCGACTGCACTCGCCGATTCAATCGGGAGCGTTTCTTGCGTTACTCTCGTATTGAAGATGCTCGATAAAATATGGTGCCTTCTCGTCGTAATAGCACGCTGAGAAAAAGATATACAGAGAGAAAATCCGTTTATTAATACTCCTGGATTGGAAAATCTTTTAAGATAGGGAGAAGGATGAGAGGGCTGAAGAAGAGGCACGATTGCAATTTCGGGGTTTGATAATGAGGACCGCGGCTCGACGGTCTCCCGGACTGTATCATTATACTATGAAGTGGAGAGACTGCTAATTAGTCATTAGCGTAGGGAAAAAGATACCTTCAACCGCGTTGCTGCAGCTGCGGGACGAGGGGGCAATCCTACCCGACGATGCTGCGAACGACGACGACTACGACGACGAAGACGACGACGACGATGAGGACGACGGTGGTAAGGATGGTGCACGGTAAACTTGCGCAAACAGGGTGTAGCTGCGCTGGCCTACGTCTAATTGGACCCTAGCGACGTAAGTTCCACTAATTGAGACCGGCCTGGTAACTATCAACACCGCTATACAAGGGTCCGTTCGTAAATTCTGAATGGACGAGCAGCGATAACGATACGGATATACTGCTCTTCGCTGATTGGGCGAACACGGGGAAACTGCGTCGCGGCGCTGGCTGCGAGCTATATGTATAGTCGTCGTCTCGGATGAGAGATAATTACAAGTTGTAAATTTACTATATTACTATGGTTAATGAGGGCGCGCGTAATTAGAACGAGTACTTGTTCCGCGCGCTGCGCATTTCGAACTATGTAATGGTCGATTAATTAATAGTTCGCTGTGCGCGACTGGCCCTTAAACAACCATAGCTGAATCCAACGCGATTTCTTGAGATACAAATACGTATTCCGCGTATTTATGATTATATATATATATATATATATATATATATATATATATATATATAAAGAGAGAGAAAGAGAGAGAAATATCAGTATGTCGAATCTCGACATTGCAGCTCCTTTTTTCATTTTCCTCCACAAACGAAATGAATTGTTTTTAATTATTCTTCATTT